GATGCCGACGAGGTCGAGCTGAACCGCATCCACGATCGCCTGCATGATGGGGCGGCCCAGGATCGAGTAGAGCTTCTCGACGCTGTTGTCAAAGGTGACATTCACGTTGGATTGCTGGAAGGGCGTGCTGAGAGCGTAGTCGCCGATGAGCACATCGACGTTGACGTTGACGTCGGCGCGTGCTGTAGCCAGAGCCGTCATGACGTATCTGGGCAGGCTGAAGCCGTCGAAGGGAGCTGCACGCAGCGAGAGCGACTGGATGTTGGCGTTCTGTTTGACGCCGACGGGCTTGATACCGCCCACGTTCATGAGGTAGTCGAGCGGGGCGGGATTCTGACCGGATTGCACCACCAGGCCGCGCATGAGGCCAAAGATGACGTTCGGCTGGTCGAATACGACGGAGACAGGCAAGGCCTGGTCGCTGGCACGGTCGGGATTTGAGCGGGATGGAATGACGACGGCGTTCTCGAGATTGGTCGCATCGACGCGTCCGACGTTGAGACCAAGCACGCTCGCTTGACCTTTGGAGCCCTTGAGATTGATCTGCGCAGTGAACGGGTTCGCCACCGACGGCACCGCATCAGCAATGTTGTTCACCACGGCCGTCGAGTCGAGGATGAGCATGTGCGCGCTGAGTAGAAGCGGATCGACAATGCCCGCAATGGTCGACTGCAGCTTGATGCCGCTCAGCGTGGATTGGAGCGACTCTGCTTGGGTCGAAGCCGTGTCGCCCTGAACATTGACGGGGCTCGACTTGCCCTGGAGATACTGTTGCACGAGCGATCGGCTCTTGTCGTCGAACGAGACGGCGGCCGAGGCGTTGAGCACGTTCGGACCGGGCACCATTCGAAGATCGCTCACACGCCCACGGCCGACGCTCGCACCGTTGGGCAGACCCAGGTTGAAGCTCGTGTCTCCCAGGATGCTGACCGAGATCTGCGACGGGTTGTTGATCGAGGCGGAAGCGGTGACGTCGAGGGCGGAGCTGGAGCCACCGAGGATGTCGAACGACAACACCTCGAGCGGGCTCCCCGTGAGCCCGTTCAGACCCTGCATGGTGGTGGTGGTGGCGATTTTGAGTGCTGGGAGCGTGATGCGACCAATGGACGAGTCGGCCGTCACCGCAGCAGTACCCTTGGCGGCGAGCTTGACCTGATCGCCGAAAGTGACGGCCTGGATGACGTGCTCAAAGAGCGTATTGGCCTGACCGACTTTGGCGTTGTCCGACGGCGACATGGTGGCGTTGACGAGCGAGACAAACGACTTGCCACCGCGACGGCTGGGTCCGACAAGCTCGAGTGCCGACGAAGCATTCGCCTGCGCACCCTGTAGTGTAGCCAGCCCTGCGGGCGTCTTTCCAGCTTTGTCGGTGGAAATGTCGATGTCAACCGCCGCACTCTCGACGTTGAGCGAGAGGCCGAACGGAATCTCGACGTCGGCCGAGATGGCTTGGGAGTTGAGCGCGGGCGCAAAGGAGTTTGACGGGTCGACCAGAACATCCACCGCGCCCACCGAGACGGCCTTGATGGGGTCGAAGGGCTGCGGCAGCTTGACGGGCACGACGAGGTTCAGCTCGTCGACGGCAGCCTTGACCCAGGCAGGGGTGGATGCGCTGGTGGGGTTGACGCGCACCGCGACGGGCGCCGCCTCGTTGTTGGTGAGGATCGAGACCATTTCGCTGAGTTTGGCGAGGTTTTCAGCGCCCTCTTGGCGATAGATTCGACCGTCGATGGGGATGGTGTTATTGCCGTTGCCGAGGCGAAAGTCGGTGATGCTAGCTTCTGCGATGGGCATATCCCTGTAAAGCATCTGCAGATCGGCATTGCCCAGCTGAATCGTAAAGGGCGACGGATTGATGAGCGATCCAACGGCATTGATGATGGCGCCACCCTGGGGAGCGTCTCCCGGCACGTCGAGCTTCAAGACCTTGACGCCGCCAAGCCCTTTGAGGCCACGGATGTTGGCGTGCTTGCTGATGGCGATGTTGTGCCACGATGGCAGAAAGCCAAATGCAACGGGCTTGACTTCGGAGCAGTTGAGCTTGAGCGTTGCCTGTTCGGCGTTGACGAGGAAGCGCGCGAGGAGGGCGAGGTTGTCGTCCGAGACGTTTTTGAGCGTGTTGGACTGCTTGAGCGTTCCGTATCCGCGCGAGGTGACGCCGAGGTGGCTGAGCTCGAGTGAGCCGATGTGGATCTCGCGGCTGTTGGGTGGAGTGGTCATCCAGTAGAGATCGACGGGCGCGCGGAAGTAGGCGCGGGCGGGAAAGATGCCGGTTTTGGTGACACGTGCATCGAGCTTGATCGGGTACTCTCCTGGGGCGGATTGAGTGGTGTTGATGTCGAGCGAGTTGAGATGGACCACCGAGACGTTGACAATGTGACGTGCTACTGCAAAGAGGATGGGGCCGGTGAGAAGGACGAGGCCGACGAGGACGGCGATGGGCACGATGAACAAGAGGCAGAACTTGAGTTTCCTTCCAAACACTTTTTTGCCGTAGGCGGTCTTTCTGGCTGCCAAAAAGCCGATGGGTTGGCCAGGCTGGTAGCCGCGGAAGGAGTCAGCGTGGGGGTTGGCATGGCTGTGTGGAGTGGAGGAGCGCTGAAGGATGGCGTCTCGATCGCCGTATCCGTCGTCGTCTCTACCGCGTCTGCGGCGAGCTGGCTCTCTCATTGTTGGGGCCGCGACTAAAGGGGAGATACTGGAAGGAAAGGATCGAGGAAGGGCCGCGCGGCGGAGGCGCCTGGAGGGCTACATGCTTATATTGTTTGGCCGCGTCAAGACGACTGGGTTACGAATGCGTGGAGAAGGATGCGGCGATGCGACGGGCGACGGGTATGAGCGGCGGACGGGATCATAGCTCGGAAGAAAGTGCGGAGGCGGCAAGACAGGATAGCGAGCGTGTTGCATAGCGAGCGCATCTTGCAGAACCATAAGATGCTACGCCCCCAACTTTGCTGCAGTGTTGGACGTCTTTCACTTGGAAGTTGTGTGTGCTGAGCCGACCGACTGATCGGAGCCCAGCAGCTGTGCATGTCCGTCGAAGCGTCGAAGCTGCCGGAGTGGAGCGAAAGGGCAGGCCGAGACTATGTGGGCGTTTGACAGCGTGGGAAGGGGGTGGATACCGAGCGGCTCGTTGAGCGCTAGCCGCTGGAGGCGTGGGAAACGACTCAGGAACACGCAAGTGTGTGGGGTGCCCCGCATGCCGCTGCCGAAGGTGGGCATGTCACTTCCTGAGCAGGCGGTGTAGTGCAGATGAGTCAAAGCCTGCCGAGGCTTGGCGAGACGCAGGTGCAGGAAGGCAATGCAGCACGACGCCCGTTTATTTTTTCACCCTCCGCAAATATTAATTTTAGGCGTGTTTGGTGTAGCTCGCCAAGTTAAACGGCGCCCAAAATACAACAACCGCTCACCACTTTCCGGCCGAGCTGCCCAGTCAAAATGATGATTCGCTTCATTCGATGCGACCTCGCCTTGGTCCAGCTTTCCTATGCTTGAGGGAACGATGAGGGAGGGTGCAGCTGCCTTGCTTCGTTGGTATGAGCCGACTCAGCCCTTGGGATGTCTCAGAATCGGCGCGGAACTCGGCCCCAAAGTCCCGAAAAAGAAAAGTCCCGAAAAAAGGCAAAGTGCGGGACTCGGAACCCCTTTTGAAGAGCGGGTTGCAGCTGATGTGCGGCTGATGTGCAGCTGGTTGTGCATTTCCGGTTCCTTTAATCGACAAAATTGAACGATTGTTTTTCTTGTGCGCATTTTCGCCATGCCTTTTCATCGMAAAAAAAAAAAAAAAGTGGCCGGCGTTGATGGTCGCCACCGTATATGGCCGATAGGGTGGACACCTCGTCGGGGCGCTTGGATTTGCTATCGTCGCTGGACCACGACGATGTTGCCGGTGCTAGGGTTTGGACATATTGCCGACGACCTCACGCATGCTTGTTGGTACCACCGCCGTGGCTCGACTAGTCCGAATGCGTCTAGCTCACTCACGTACCCGGCGAAGACAAGATGGATCCATGACGCGGCCCCGTTTGGCAGTTGGGTAGGCAAGATGCTGCGACGAGCCATGAGCGAGGGTTCGTGCTTTGAGGCTGATGTGGCGTGTGGCGAGAGATTGCGTTGATGTAGGCTTGATTCGAGCCTCGTATAGTCATCGGCTGCTGCCAAATTCAGGCTCTCCGCCTAACACACCTGTCATACAGCGCCGGCCCAACAGTGCACAAGACTCGAGACAAAGCAGAGCTCCTGGTCGGCTGGTATCCATACGATGTCATGACGTCGCTTGCCAAGCGGCAAACGTTGGGAACAGCCTTCGGAATTGGCTGCGCCGAAGTCAGAGTGCGTCTGCAGCACGAGACGACGCTGAGCCGGCTTCCAGGCTGCTTGCTGTTTGCTGCGAACCATCTCTCACCATGGCCGTGTCCATGGTATTGCCTCTGCTCTGCTCTGCATTGCTCGAAGCTGCATCGATCCTGCTTGTACGGGATTCACGCGTCTGACCTCGTCGCAATGTCTCATAACTCGGACCCGTGTACTTCCAATAACACCAGTGATTGGACCGTATAACTCCATTTGTCGGACACGCCCGGACACTGTCTCAAGACCCTCCACCACACCGCGCGGAAGTCCGGACACATAGGCCACCATGTTTGCATTTTGCTACACGCGCAGACGATCTCTCGACGGCGCCTTGGCTCGGCCATGTGCAACGTTTCGATCGAGCGGTAGCAAGCGGTAGCAATGCAGTTGTCCCGTCGGGCATGGGTGATGGCCAAACACGGTGCTGAACACGGCGCGGCACGCCGACACTCCACCTGGCGTACTACAGTGTCCAGACCCTGTATCCACCCGGCGCGCACTCGCCTAGCTGGGATCACGTGGGGCGGCCAACCTCGGATGGTGTTGGTGGGCCGGACTGAGAGTTAGGAGGACTCCAACGCGACGCGCCATATGCACGCGTATATTGATCCCCCGCCACAGCTTGATCTGAACCACCACCGCTCACCATGCCAGCGATACGCACAGCGCACGCGCACATCCCCCAGCCGCCCTATGCTGCTCCACCCGCGCGTGAGGGGGTAGAGCATGCGTTCAAAACCACCCAGGCGTACGAACCGCGCCAGAAGGAGTGGCATAGCTGGTGCGACGGCCAAACTGCAACCGGCTTTGCGGGGGGAGAGAGGTATACGGTGAAAGAGGAGAAGCTCGCGTTGTTTCTCGAGGAGTATGTGCTCAAGAGAACCATAGCTAAGCGTCCTGCCTCCGCAGCCAGAGCAAGCACAGCAAGCAACGAAAGCGCCGAAGGCACCGAAAGCACAGCAAGCACCGAAAGCACGTCCGAGGCGGGTGATGATGATTCGGCAGAGAGCACGGCGCAGAGTGGAGGTCTGGGTTGGTCGTCGAACTCACTCTACGTGGCAGCGGTCGTGGATTTGCGGCGGACGCAACAGCAACGCGGCACCAACACGCACTACAACCCGCGCTCGGGACGCGTGCAAGCGCTACTGGCAACGGTTCGACAGCAACTTGCGCCCAAAAAGCCGCATCCTGCACGGTCCATGGCCGAGGGCGATGTGGTCAAGCTGGCTCAGGATGGGATGGTGCGTGGATGTAAAGAGGGCGTCCGAGATCGACTCATGGTGCTCCTCTCCCACGTTGCTGGTCTATCGGGGACAGAAGTGCGCACGCTGGAGTACAGCGACTTTGACCTGCACGCCGATGTAGACTCGGGTGTAAGGGTGGAGGTCAAGGGGAGGGTGGTGGGGAGGAGGGAGGATGTAGAGTGCTGTGTGGTGGGCGCGTTGGCGCTGCATCTCTTCTTGGCGCAGGATAGACAGGAGGGTGACAAGGTCTTTGGCTCGGCAACGGATCCAAAGACGGCGATATCGGATGCGGCGCACTTTCATACGCTGCGCAGTGCGCGTGTGCGTCAGGGCGTCGACAAGCGCGAACTCAAGTGCCTTATGCGTGCGTCGCCCGTTGTGGGCACTGGCACCGAGCGGGTGGGGCGAGACATCGAGGTTCCTGCAGAGATCCTGGATGCAGTGTTGCCCGAGCGAAAGGAGGCGTTGCTAGATGGACTACGCAGCGTGCTGGTCCATGATGCGGCGGTGCTGTGGTTAAAGCATCCGAGCCATCCGATGTTTACACACGGCGGGTTCCAGGGTTCGGCATTCGAGGCGTTTGCTAGCCGCATTCCCACACAACTGAGCGTGTGCAGTGCGCAAGCGTCGAGCGGGCCGCAGCTGGTGACGTTTCCAGGAACGAGCGTACAATTAACTGCCGAGCAGATGGGCGAGATAGACAGAGCGGTCGCTGGACTCATCACCCAAAAGATGGATGCTCGCCAACGCGAGCACGACCAGCAACTGGCCGAGGTCAAGCAAGGTCTAAACAGACTGCAACAGTCGATACAGCGAGACGCGAGGCGCAAAGCCGAATTCTTCCTGTTCCTTGCTGACAAGTTCAATGTAGCTCTCGATGCGGAAGACCTCGACGCTGCTTCGATGGGCAGCATTACCGCGACGCGCAACGACGACACTCCCGACGCTGGGTTTTACGTGGATCGCGGAATTAACAGAGTAGTCGAGCTGTGGACCGAGTACGTCCACGGTGCGAACGGCAAGCCGTCGGTGCAATCCCTGGTACAGCGGCAAGGATTCAGGTGGAAAAGCGACTTGGACCGAAAGTTCTTTACGCGCCGAAGCGTTATCCTCGACGAAGTCGAGCGGCGGGCACAACAGGGCGAACCGGACGAAGAAACAGTCGCGGGAAAGTTGGACAGCTACATGGTCAAGATGGGGATAAGGTCGTTGTCCCAGCTTCAGGATCGAATCAAGCAGGGAGACGTGCCGGAATGCTTGGAGTAGGAGCGAAAGATGACGATCTACCCCACTCGCTGTGCTTGTCTTTGCTTGAGCGCAATGTCTGCGCGTTTGCCCCTTGCTAGACCCCAGACGAGCGGTGTTCAGAGCGCTTTCTTCCGCCCATTCGATCGGCAAGATCATGGCGGGAGCCTTCTCTTGAATGTTTGGCCCATCACACGCTTCGGTCTGGGCGAACAGGGCGCTGCGATACCCACGCCGCTGAGCTTGCTATGCAGGTGCGGACCAAGCGCAGAAGCAAATGTGAGATGTAGATGCAGACGCAGGGATGGTTCGCTCGCTTGCGCTACGCTTGTCGAGCTGCGACATGAAGCACTGGCATTGGTACACAATGTGCGGAAAGATTTTTTTTCCGGCCGCCAGACGAGTTTGTCGCCGTTACATCTTTGCATGCACTCGTTGCTAAAGCAGCGCAAAAGCTGTCCCGCCTACCAGTGGGAAGCGTTGCATTCGGTCTTGAGCCTCGGTGCCAGGATCCGTTTTTTTCAACAGCCGGGTTGAAGACGGTGAAGCTCGACCGCTGCGCATTCTTGCTTTGTTTCGCACTCGGTCGGCAACGCTCAAAAGCCCCCTCTGCTGGCCACTCGCTTTAAAGCATGGCAATGTGATACGTTGATGTTTTGCTTGAGAGTGAGGGTCGAAAGTGCCACTTGAAAGGTGTCCTTGCATGCGCAGCAGAGGGCGGTGGGGAGGAGCGTCGAGGCTCGCACAATCCATCCTCGCTTGCATGGCTGGCAGGCAAGAATTCTCGAACCACGCCGGGTGAAAAGCGGGCTCAGAGGTGGTGGCACTTGCAAACCTTGGCGCGGTGCCAACGCCAGTGTTTCGTGGTCCGGTCCGGTTCCACCTCTTTCCCTGATCCTGACTTCCGGCACGAATAGAGCAGGATGAATAGGCTCCACTAGACCCATCGCAGTCGGCCTACCCAGAAATAAAAGAAGAACAAGGAGGAGGAAGAGGAGGAGGAGGGAAGAACACCCAACCGACGAGAATCAAGACGTCGCAACACGGCCGCGCGTGCGCCGTCACCATCGAGCCTCCCTCGGCGAATGTCTGCGAAAACAGCATGACAAAGTTGCAAAGTCCCAAGTGGAAAGAGTCATCCCTGGCTTCGGTCGAGCGCTTACAGATCGCTCTGCGCCTGTATGCAACGTGAAACCCCCACTGCTTCTGCCGTCACGACCTTTCGTTCATCAATCACGCATCCACGCTCGCTTCGAGGGGCATGTGTGATTGTACTGGCACAGTTGGAGTTCGAGGTGAGCGGGAGTGGGTGCGTCGTTCTGCATGCTCGCCTCGGCCAAACGCAGCACTCTCCGGGCAGCATCACTCCGGACCCCTGCTTCCTGTGCGGCCATATGCGGGCGCGTTGCTGACGAGGCGACACTCACCGCCTTGCGCGACCCTGGAATGCCACCCCACACGCCTGCAATACGGCCATTCCTCAAACCTGCACCGCACGACGGAACCTCAAGTGCCACCCTTGACGTCGTGGCTTTCGTCACCCTTGGCATCATCCCACCCAATCGCACGCCGTGCCCAGTCGCCTCTTGTGGCGTATACGCGCGTGCGACGAGATTGAGATTGACATTGGCATTGAGCCTACAGATGGGCGGGTGTGGCTGCGTCGTCGTGCTTATTTCTCGCCGCCGACCTCAGACGCTCGGGCAGCGTCTCCGTCGCCCCTGCGTCCTGCGCCACCATGTACGCCAGCTTCTCGCCGATCATATACGCCGGTGCCTGGGTATGACCCGTATTGACGAGCGGCAGGATGCTCACGTCCGCCACCCTCAGCTTCGCCACGCCATACACGCGCAGCCGTGGATCGACCACCGCACCCTTGGGCAGCACCCGCGAAGGTTCGGCCGATGGACCCATCGCACAGGTTCCCGAGGCGTGGTAGCATGTCCCTGCTTGCTGGCGCACGTACTCCTTCCACTCGTCCTGCGTGCGGGGCAGTGTGCGCGAGACTGGCCATGGGCCCGAAACGACGTCTTTCGTTGCGGTGCCGTTGAGAATCGTGTCCGCGCCGAAGCGGTTTGCTTCCGCAAGCACCGCTAGGTCGAGTGGGGAAGAGAGGTAGGCATGGTCGATCGCGGGTGGAAACAGCGCATTGCGGCTCTGGAGCTGCACTGTACCGCGCGCCTGCGGGTTGAACAACAGCGTGATGAGCGCGAATGCCGACTCGCCCGGTGAGGGCTGGTGGACGTGCTGCGGCCCTCCACCGTACAGCTCCGAGTAGAAGTACTCGACGTGCGGCATACCGTTCTCGGCACCCACGGGATCCTTCCCCCCAGCCTGGCGTTTGGCCTCGACCCACTCGGGATAACTCGCCTCGAGCTCGGTGTCGAAGCGGCGAAAGACGAAGGCGCCAAAGGGGAAGCGACCCATGAGGCCGGACTTGTCGGTCATGTAGCTGCCCATGGCAGTTGCCAGCGCACCCTCGTCGAACACCAGGTGGTCGTTGGTCAGCTGGGGTTGGGAGACGTTGAAAAAGTTGAACGTGATGATGTGGTCTTGCAGATTCTCGCCCACGGCGGGCGCGTCGTGCTGGACGCGGATGTTGAAGCGGTCAAGCTGGTGCTTGGGACCGATGCCGCTGAGCATGAGCAGCTGCGGCGTGTTGTACGCGCCGCACGATACGATGATCTCGGCGTTGGCGTGGAAGAGCAGCGGCGCACCCGTCTCGTCGTCGCGCGCCTCGACCCCAGTGGCGACCTTGGCACCGTCAACGCCGTCGGTGAGGATGATGCGCGTGGCCTGCACGTTGCAGCGCACCGTGAGGTTGGAGGGGAGATTGGGGCCCGAGACGAAATCGGCGCCGCTGGTGCGTGTGCCGTTGTAGACGGTGCGCGGAACGTGGCCGACGCCCTGGTTGTCGCCGTTGTAAAACATGTTGGGCTTCCATTCGAGCCCCGTTTCGAGGAAGCTGTCTACGATGCGCTGGCTAATAGGCGCAAGGGGATGGAACGAGGTGTGGAGCGAGCCTCTGTCGCCGTGCACGGCCGGATCAAACGGCAGCTGTTCCGGGTCGGGATGAAAGGTCTCGGACTCTTTGAAAAAGGGGAGCACGTCGTCCCATCCCCAGCCGTCGTTGCCCATGGCGGCGAAGCGGTCGTAGTCGTTGCGTACGCCGCGGATCATGAGCGTGCCGTTGGCGCCCGAGGAACCGCCGAGGAATCGACCGCGGGGAAGGTGGATCTGGCGATGGTTGGCGTGGCGCAGCGGCTGCGAGGTGTACTTCCAGTCCCAGCGCGAGTGGTGGATGCCCTCCCAGCCCATGGCCATGGTGGAGGCGAGGATGTTTTCGTGGCGCGGCCCTGCCTCGAGCAGCAGGATTTGCGAGTGAGGCAGGTACTCTGCCAGACGCCTTGCAGCGACGGGGCCCGAGGTGCCGCCGCCAACGACGATGTAGTCGAATGTCTCTGGAGCCGCAGCCATGTTTGTCGACGCTAGTCTGACGAAATGTGGAATGGGCAGGGCGCAAGGCGTTGGATGGCCTCCTCATATAGGTGCCGTTGGCCGGCCGGCTCATCCGCAGCATCGTTGGGAGCTTCGAGTGTGACTTTAGGGTTGGGAGAGTGTGGCGTGTGAAGTGCATTCGAAAGCGCCTCGGATCAACCGACGGTTGCATGTGGCAAGCGCGGCTAATCCGAATTCTTTGACAGGCGAAGCACGGACCCTTTTTTGCGTTTCCCCCACGCCACATGACCCTGTTTTAGGCTCAGCCGGTGCCGATTCATATGGTACTGTCGGATGGTCCGCCGAAGCGAGCCATTCCACGGCTAAATCCCGGTCTCCTTTCCGCGCAATCGCTGCTGGGGCACACAAACACACACACTCTGCATGGATGACGAAGAAGGCAGTGTGATTTCGCAGCAGCTTCACCACTGCACGGCCAGACCATTCACCGCCTCGTCCTGGACGGCGCGGTACTGTGTGCGCAGCAACGCACTGCGAGCTTCCAACTGGCACAGCTCGTCCACTACGCCAACTGCCAGCTGGTCAGCCTGATCACTGCGTTCGGGTTGGGTGAGCGCCTCGAGCAGACGCTGATGGTCCTGGATGCGGATCGACTTTGCGCTGCTGCTCGACAGCGGCGTACTGGCTCCACTTGCAAGTGTCGGCGTGGACGCACCCGAGTCCACCCCCAAGGAGCCCAAGGAGGACGAGGCGATGCTGACCGGTGGGTGGGCGACAGCTGAGCTTTGCCAGTAGGCATGCTCGACGCGACGCACCCATTCTTTCGTCGTGCCCTGCCAGCCCTTGATTTCCTTTTCCCCGTCCATGTCCACGTCGTCCGAGGTGGGTTGCTTGATGCATGTTTTCCCCAGCATGGCTTCGTCAGTGTCGGTGGATGTCGCCCAGCCCTGAGAATAGCCCTCGGGGTCCGTGGTGGTGGTGGCTTCGGTAGGCGGTCGGATCTGTCCTCCGCCATTGACGCAGCCGGACGGACACGCCATGACCTCGACATAGTCGTACCCTCGCTCCTCCTCTGCCGCTTCGACAGCCACAGCTTCGGGATTGAGTGGACTGCTCCTCGCCCCTGCCATTCCGGCCGCTGCTCTGCCTCGCCTGACCATGCCGCCTCGACCGCGACCGCGTGCTGCCTTGCGTGCGGGGCCGAGCGTGTTGCCGTCGGCATCGACGAGTCTGCCCGCTGCACCTCGCGCCGAGCGCGCGCCCGTCTGCTTCTGCAGCTTGCGCACCAGATTCTGCAGGTTGCGGAAGCCGTAGCACTGCGCACCCCGAAATACAATGCTCGACGAAACCGGATCGCGAACGAGGTACTCGGTAAAGTCGGCGGTTCGGATCACGCGCACGTCGAGTTTGGGCATCACCCCCGATGAGCGCACCGATTCAGGCAGCCGATCGGCATTGTGTGCGATCCAGTCGGCCCACACGGCACGCATGAGGGCAAACATGTAGCCGCCACTACTGCTACCCGGCTGATCCAGCAGCCGTGGCAATGTCACTGCACTAGTCGAAGGGTGCGACAGGGCATCGTGTTCGTTGGGGAGGGGTTGGGTGATGTCGAAGCCTTCGTCGTGCATGAGCGTGTCGAGTTCTCCCGTGGTGAGGACGCAGTCGACGTCCTTGCTGCGCGTCACCTCGTTGTAGAAGTCCGGCCGCGACGCTTCGAGCTTCTTGTCGTAGCACGGCATCACCGTCACGTGGTAGACAGTCGTCTCGGCAGCAAGACCAAGACGATGTGGAAGGAAGCGCTTTGCAATGACGCCTGCGAGTTGTTGTGGTGATTTGGTGGTCGAGATGTACGGCAGCAACTCGCCGTGCGTCTTTTCGGCATAGCAGATCCAGCCCGGACACGCGCTCGCCAACATGGGCAGCGAAGGTCCCTCCCCGCCTGCGCTCGAATTGGATCGACGCTCAAAGAACTCGTTCGTGTGTTCTTGCAGTGCAATGTGGCGCGCAAAGGTGGTGTCGTAGACGTAGTCGAATCCGAACTTGGCGCTGAGAAAGTGCGAGATGCGATGGAGCAGGACATCCAACGGCAGTTGCGAGTGCGCCGAGTTGAAGGTGTACTTGGCCGACAGCGATGCGAGCGACTGCGGGCTGATCGATGCCACCAGCAAGCTTGGTTGGCCAGCGTCGCGGAACTCCCCGACGGCACGACGCAGCTCTTCCTGGCTCTGCATGGTGATGAGCACGCTCTCGGCGCTCGTGACGCATCCACTGCATGCCAGACAGTCGTTGAGCGAAATCTCAGCCGTTTCGAGCTTTGTCCTCTCCCTAGGCTTGGATGCGGTACTGGTGGAAGCCGAAGACTCGTAGTACGATCCGTCGTGGTCGATGGCGATCTGCGTCGAGGCTTGGGCTGCCGCATCGAGTGGTTCGGGTTCAGGCGCAGGTGCATCGGGTCCTTCGACGGGTTTGATGCATGCCTGCGATGGGCCGAGGTAGTCGTTGAGATCGGTGAGCGTGAGTGCGCCCGAGAAGGCCATGGTGAAGGCTAGTGGTGGCGGTGGAGGGATGGAAGGAATGAGGATGCCGTGCCGACTCAGCTCTCTTTTGGGTTAAAGCCCGGTTGAAAGCTCGGTGAATTTTGAGCCAACCCCCGCCCGTGCCGAAAAGGCTGACGAATCAGGCTCGCCCGATTTTGCAATTCTCGCGAAATGTGAGATCGGCAACAACTGCACATTTGTTTTGAAAGCGAAACGCGGTCGAATCGATTGCAGACGGCATCTCTGCTCGGTGCTCGGCTATGGGATCTGGAGCGCTGTCACTGCTGGCTGTCACTATCACTGATGTCACTCGTGTGTGGCTCTCCGTCATCCAACGATAAGCCGTGTTAACAACACTGTTTCAACCCAGCAAGAGTGGGCATAACCAGCCACCAAGCCGAACGCCCTTCTTTTTGATCGTTCACCCGTTCGACATGGCCTTCCACCGCCGTGGTCGCTTGCTTATATACACTGCGGCCAGTGCGACTATGCGAGTGGGGGGAAGGGCCAGATCGGATCAGATAAGGCAGCGCGGAAGGAAACGGCTTTGCGATGTTCGGCGTGAAAGTCGGCGTTTTGTTTTTCATTTTTGGAATTCCTAGTGGATTGGCCGCGGCGAGAGCAGAGAGAGAGACGCTCAGATTGGAAGAGATGGCGAGCAGATAACGATGCGAAAAGCTCGACGGCGGAAATCAAGGCCAAATCCCTTATCTCTGAGCCGGGCATCGACGAATCACAAACGACGATCGCAGGCCCAATCTTGCATCCCTCGCCCGTTTCATGCCCACGGCTGCTGAGATGCGCAGATGCGCAGATGCGCAGATGGCCGGGCGTGTTTCCGTCTCCACCCGTCGGTTGCACTGCCAGACATGGCGTAATCCGGCGTCGCCCCGAGTAGCGGTGGAGGGAAGCGGATGGACAGCCGCGATGGATTGTGGTGACTCGGAATCTTACTCTAGATCCCAATGCTCGCCACTGGATGCGCTCGTATATAGTCTGCGCTCCCATCTCGACGCCCGCTTTGCTTGCGCAAAATCACAACACCCATGGGCCAGCGCAATTCTGTCCGACCCCCCACTCCAGCTACTACGACATCGAGCAGCATGACCAACCTCCCTTCGGAACCCGAATTCGAGCAGGCGCTCAACGAGCTCGGCTCGACGCTGGCGCCGTTCCTGGAGCAGAACCCTTCGTACCAAAAGGCGTTTGACATTATCCAGATCCCCGAGCGCATCATCCAGTTCCGCGTGGTGTGGGAGGACGACAAGCACGTCGCGCAGGTCAACCGCGGCTACCGTGTGCAGTTCAACTCGGCGCTCGGACCCTACAAGGGTGGACTGCGTCTGCACGAGACGGTCAACCTGTCCGTGCTCAAGTTCCTCGGCTTTGAGCAGATCTTCAAGAACGCCCTCACGGGTCTCAACATCGGCGGCGGCAAGGGTGGAAGTGATTTCAACCCCAAGGGCAAGAGCGATGCCGAGGTGCGAAGGTTCTGCAAGGCGTTTGCCACGGAGCTGCAGCGTCATATCGGTCCCAACACCGATGTTCCCGCGGGTGATATTGGATTCTCGACCAGGGAGGCGGGTTTCGTGTTTGGAACGTACAAGCAGCTGCGCAACGAGTGGACCGGTGTGATTACGGGTAAGGCCATCGATTGGGGTGGAAGCTTCATCCGTCCCGAAGCCACCGGTTACGGCCTGATCTACTATGTCGAGCACATGATCGCACACGTCGAGTCGGGTGCCGGATTCCAGGGCAAGAAGGTGGTCATCTCGGGATCGGGTAACGTTGCCCAGTATGCCGCACTCAAGGTGCTCGAGCTGGGAGGAACGGTGTTGTCGCTGTCCGACTCCAAGGGATCGCTCATCGCCAAGGGCGACAAGGGATTCACGGCCGAGATGATTGAAAAGATCGCCGAGATCAAGTACAACCGTGGCGAGCTGTCGACATTCACCGATGCATCGCTCGAGTTCCACTCCGGAGCACGACCGTGGAAGTTGGTGTCCAAGTACGACGTGGCGCTCCCCTGTGCGACGCAGAACGAGATGGACGAGGACGAGGCCAAGGCTGCCATCGCCGCTGGATGCAAGTACGTCGCCGAGGGAAGCAACATGGGTCTCACCCAGGAAGCCATCAACGTCTTCGAAGCCTCGAGGGGTACCGAGTCGCCCTGCTGGTACGGTCCCGGCAAGGCGGCCAACTCCGGCGGTGTTGCGGTTAGTGGGCTCGAGATGGCGCAGAACTCGGCGCGACTCACCTGGACGACAGAGGAGGTGGATGCCAAGCTCAAGGGCATCATGAAGAACGCGTACGAAAACTGCTTCCAGACGGGTAAAAAGTTCCCCGCCAAGGGAGACAAGGCACAGCTGCCCAGTTTGGTGGGAGGTGCCAACATTGCCGGGTTCAAGAAGGTCGCCGATGCCATGAAGCAGCACGGCGACTGGTTCTAGCTTTCCTCCACTTGATCTTGTTTGAATGCAATAGACGTTGCCATGCTTACTTTTGTGGTCAGTCCCGTGTGGGTGATGGGCGAGCACTCCAATTGGTGCGCAGTGGCAGTTCCAAAGACGCGATTCCACGGGTCGACTCAGCAGAAGTGCAGCGACTGGTCTCGAGTGCCCTCATGGACACACTCCATCGGAAAGGCCGGACCAGATCAACGCAATTCGGAGTGGACAGTCAGCATCGGCGGGTCGTTGCGCCCCTTTGCTAGCGCGGTGCATGGTTTGTCGTCGCCAGTCACGGCAGCTGCTGCGCGCATCAAGGCAGCGGCAAGTCCGGCGCTTCAATACGCGGCAGCATCGGCTTGCTTCCGACTCCTCTTGCTCCCATTGCATGGCGCGCCGGTGTTATGTTCCGAACCCCGAACCCTTCTCCTGCCTGAATCACTGGCGCGTGTTGTTGCAACCTGCGCTCTTCCTGCCGTCTTTCTAATCATCGGATGCGGTTGGCTGCTTCTCGCACACGGCTGCTGTTTCTGAGTGAGATTGGAATTCGAATCCGAGGCTTGTGATTGCGATCTCGAGCTTAGTACAAGGAGAAGGCGGCTCTGGGGGACTTAGAGACGGTCGCGCTTGTACTGCTTGTCGAACTGCTGGTTGACCGACATCATCTTGGTGTTGGTGCCCGGCTCGACGTTGTTCCACGGCGTAGGGTTGTTCTTGCGGTCCCAGATGACGTCCGGTCCACGTGCCAGTCGGCTCAGGTACCTTCCCACCCCCAACCAAAATCCAAAAGTCAGTGTGCGTCGTTGTTATCTCAATGTTGAGGTGGCTGGACATACCAGGTGGCACCGCCGGCAGCAAGACCAGTGATAACGTAGATGGGAAGAACCTCCGGAGCGTACCTGTACCCAAAACACCAGCGATCAAACAGAATGTTCAGTAAAGTCAAGGTCGAAAGGGAGATAAAGGTGGGAAACTCGGGACGTACCAGTTCTTCATGAAGATCTGACGAGCCTTGTTCTTGGCTGCCTGAGCTGCTGGGCCTGCCATTTTTGCGATAGATTCGGGATGGATATGCAAAAGGGGAGAAGGTGGTGGTGGTGGTGGGCAGCGATGGTTTGGAGATCGCGATGAGCAGATTCGACGTTCAAGCCCTTTCGCACGACTCAATTTGCGCCACCTCGCACTCCCGGGCTTCTAGTCGAACCAGCGCTGCAACAGAGACAGCCACGTAAAATTCCGATTCACGATTCGGATCCGAGTGAATTGCTCGAAATTTGAATAATGTTAGACCTTCTTTCAATCCCGTTGCCGCAATTTCGCGGGACCTCTTTCCGAAAAGACCAACACAGCCCAGCCCAGCCCCACCCAAGGCGAGGGACGCGGAGATCGGCTCTTCCGCGGCAAAAAGGCTCGAAAGGCTCGAGCTAGACAGTCAGCCGGGCGCCGGATGTGACCCGACAAAGCAGTGCCAGTGCCAGTGCAAGTGCATGCAGTGAGGCGTGGGTAACGCGATGCACCTCCCGCTCGGATCACCCGTGCAACAATGGAGTCCCACCTCGCTTTCAGCGTCACTCTCGACAAAGCGGCATCGCCTGCTGGGCTGCTCCTTTGCTACCGTCACATCTCGGCCTGTCGCAGTCGACGGCACCATCCGACGGCGTCTAGGACATATATAGGCAGCAGGGACCCCCGTCCAAGCCATTCCCCACCCCACCCCACACACATACAGCCATGTCGTCGCAGCAGCCAAACGCATCCTCCTCCTCCTCATCACCACCCCTCTGCACGCTGCGGGTGCAGGTGCTCTCCGCCAGAAACCTCGCCGCCAAGGACAGAAACGGCAAATCGGATCCCTTCGTCCTCGTCAGCTTGCCCGGCTCCGTCGCCTCGGCCCATCACGATGCAGACTCGCGCTCCCAAACCACCGTAAAGCCAAAGACGCTCGATCCCACCTGGAACGCCGACGAGGCCACCTTCAACTTTCCCGTACTCCCCGAATGGTTCGGTCCCAACTTTGCTGCCGTAGCCACCGACGACATCGACTCATCCTTCGTGCGTCGCGCCATACAACATGCCGTCCTGCCCGACTCGGCAGCACAAGCCCCAACAGCTGCGGGTGCAGCCTCGGGCGCTCAAACGCCAGACACCAACGCAAAATCGCGGCCACGTCTTAATCTTCGCTCCGCCTCCTCCAAGCGCATCCAGGGCGCCGCTTCCAAGATCCTCGTCGCACCCGTCCGTCTCGGCGCAGCAGGCGCGCGTGTAGTCGGCAGGCAGATGCCCAGGCCCATGCGGCTGCGTCGTCGCAACCCGCTCTCCAACTCGCGTCCCTCGTCCACACTCGGCACGCTCGGCACAGACAGCCCCTCCGCCGCCGCACTCCAAGACCCAAAACCGCCCCGCGGCTCCATCCAGCTAGACGCCTCCAACGGCATGGTCTCGTCGCTCGAGTTCGTCATCTGGGACAAGGACCGCTTCTCCGGAAACGACTACATGGGCGAATGCTCGCTTCAGGTCGCACAGTGGTGCCAGGACGGCATGGCCGAATGGTCCAACGCACACTCGCTCTGGCTTCCCGTCGAATCCTCCCGTCCAGACGCAAAGATCAGCGGCGAACTCCAGGTCAAGATCGGATTCGTCCCCCTCGACGCCGCCGCAGCCCGCACCTCGTCCGGTCCGCGCTCCTGGAGCGTACAGGAAGTCTACGACCGCCTCGTACTCGCCACGCTCGGCTCGGCCGGTGCCGCCGTGCGCGCCATCCCTGCCTCCCAGTCCGTAGGCACCGCTGCCGCCCAAGAAGCCTTTGTCGACGACGGCCTGAGCAGCGACGAAAGCGACGAAGAGGACGACGATGATGACGACGACGAAGACGTCACCGACCAGGATGACGACCTCATCACCTCGGACGGCGACAACCGTAGCGACCTCAACGACGGCATCGAGTTTGACTCGGACGACGACGCCGTCTACGACCAGCACTACCAATCCATCGCAGCCACCCCATCCACCACTGCTTCCAATTCCTCGGCAGTACCGCAGTCGGCAGCACTCCTCACACCACCCCCGCCGACGCAGCCGACATCACGACCGGGCAAGTATCGTCGCATCTTTTCGCGCACCAAGGGTCTCAGATCGGCCCACACTTCCGGCGCCGCAACGCCCATCGAATCCACCAGCTCCGACGTCGAAGCCGCGCGCTCCACAGCCACCACCAGCGATCTCGGCGCAAGCACCGACGCCAAGCCGCGCTCCAAGCGACGTCTGCCCGGCGTCAAGCGTCTCAAGTCGAGCAACGCAGTGCCCACCGCGGCTGATGGCAGCACGCCCCGGACCCGCACCCGCCGCATCAAGCGACGCGGAGGCGCAGCCAGCCGCAAGCGCGGAGAGTACGCCTTCAAAGCCGAGATGGGCTTGGACATCATCGGCATCGTCATGATGGAGGTGCAGGGCGCCAGCGACCTGCCGCGCTGGACCAACGTCACGCACACCAGCTTCGACATGGACCCCTTTGCCATCATCAGCTTTGGCCAAAAGATCTTTCGCACGCGCGTCGCGCGGCACACGCTCAACCCCACCTGGAACGAGAAGCTCCTCTTCCACGTCCGCCGCCACGAGACCAACTTCCAGGCCAAGTTTATGATCTACGACTGGGATCGCATGTCGTCCAACGACTATGTCGGCGGCGCCAGCATCTCGATCGCCGAGCTGCTCGATGCGGCGCCCAAGCCCGACACGCTCACCGGTCTGTATGCCGACGACGACGACGGTGTGCTGGGCTCGATGAAGCAGTTTGTGCTCCCGCTCTCGCGCGTCGAGAAGGACGAGGAGGTCAAGTTCAAGCGCACCACCAAACCGCCCTCGCTCACCATCCAGGCCAAGTTTACGCCGTACGATGCGCTCCGTCAGCGCTTCTGGAGGCAGCTGGCGCAGCAGTTCGACACCAACGACAGCGGAACCCTCTCGCGCCTCGAGCTGTCGAGCATGCTCGACAGTCTCGGCAGCACGCTCAGCACAAAGACGCTCGACAGCTTCTTCCACGCGCTCGACAAGAACCCGGACGAGGACGAGCTGAGCTTTGACGACATCATCGTCGCGCTCGAGGCCGAGGTGCAGAAGCCGTGGGCGCTCAAGCGCAAGGCCACGCAGCCGTCCAACCTCAACAGCGGCGCACAGACGCCCTCGCTTCTCGGAGGCGTCGGCGACATTGGAACCGACCTCAACCAAGATGCCGACTTGAGCGGCGCCAATGCGCCCAGCGCCGACGTTCCCGGCACGGAAGCAGCCGCCGCCGACCAATCGAGCGGCAACATGCGCCCGTTGGATCGCGACTTTTCGGCGCTGTCCATGACCTCGTCCACCGACTCTTCGTCGACGGGCGGTGGTGCGCAGCTGGCTCATCCCGGTGCAGGCGGCGGCGCGGCGGACAAGCGACGCAGCGCGTCAAACTCAAGCTCGGGCATGCTCTCGACTTCGCCGACGCCTCCGCTCATCCAGGTCGAGGGCGGGGCCGATGCGGGCTCGTCGTACGACGATGTGCAGGCGGTGGAGCGCGTGGTGCGTCTGCAGTCGTGTCCGCTGTGCCACATGCCGCGGCTGTCGAACAAGGGCGAGATGGACATCATCACGCATCTCGCTGTGTGCGCCGCGCACGACTGGCGACGCGTCGAGAGCCTGACGGTGCGCAACTACGTGACGGCGAGCCAGGCGCACCGCAAGTGGTACACCAAGGTGGTCAACAAGATCAGCCAGGGCAACTACTCGCTCGGCGCCAACAGCGCCAACATCATCGTGCAGGACCGCATCTCGGGCGAGCTGATGGAGGAAAAGATGCAGGTGTACGTGCGGTTGGGCATCCGGCTGCTGTACCAGGGCGCACGCTCGCGCATGGAGGGCGCGCGGGTGAAGCGCATGCTCAAAAACATGAGCGTCAAGCAAGGGGTCAAGTTTGACAACCCGGCAAGCGCGCGCGAGATCGCGGGATTCATTGCGTTCCACAACCTCGACCTCGACGAGATCCGCGAGCCGCTCGAGAGCTTCACGACGTTCAACGAGTTCTTCTACCGCAAGCTCAAGCCGGACGCACGGCCCAACGAGGAGCCGGACAATCCGGCGCGGCTGGTGAGCGGCGCCGACTGCCGCATGATGGCGTTCGAAAGCGTGAGCGAGGCGACGCGCATCTGGATCAAGGGCCGCGATTTCAGTGTGGCGCGGCTGCTGGGCGAGGCGGCTGCGCCGTCGGAGCTGGACAACTACCAGACGGGCGGAGCGCTGGCCATCTTTAGACTGGCCCCGCAGGACTACCACCGCTTCCACTGCCCTGCGGACGCGACGGTGGGCAGGCCGACGTGGATCACAGGCCAGTACTACACGGTGAACCCCATGGCGATCCGGTCTGCGATCGACGTGTACGGCGAAAACATCCGCGTGGTGGTGCCGTTCCACTCGGAGCGCTTTGGCACCTTCTACGCCGTCTGCATCGGCGCCATGATGGTCGGCAGCACCGTGCTTACCGTCAAGGAGGGGCAGAGGGTGGCGCGCGGCGACGAGTTTGGTTTCTTTAAATTCGGCGGCTCGACGATCGTGCTCGTCTTCGAGAAGGGCCGCCTGGCGTGGGACCAGGATCTGCTGGACAACTCGCGTGCGGCCATCGAGACGCTCGTGCGCGTGGGTATGGGCGTCGGGCGTGCGCAGTCCTCGTAGCCTTGTCAAGTTGGGCAGCTCGAC